AAGGATTTGTCTGTGCCGCAGTTGCCAGAGAGACTGCGGGGTGGGTCGCGTGTGGCTCCGTCATCTCAGACTGCTGCATCATCCTCGACAGATCCGGCACCAGTGCTTTTGAGACTAGCTCCAAAATCTGTGCCAAAGTCCGCGCCAAAGTTCTTGAAACCCACTCCAAAATCTTTGCCATCAACTTCAAGTGATTCTCAGACAGTTGTTGTTGTTGAAGAAGATACCAAATTGTTGCTCGATCATCCAGCGCTGGTAGCAAGTGAGGTGACATTCCGAAACTTGTCAATAGAGGATCTTGATAGATTGCAGTTGCAGGCTCACGAGGGGCAGTGTTCAGTTGCTCGAGCTCGGGCTGTGATTAGCTGGGGATCATCATCAGGTTTTGGATACGTTCAGGCACTCGAACAGACGGGTTTCGAGGGACTCAGGTGGCATTTATCCGAGAGAGACTCAAGACGTGCTCAGGACTGTGCGTCAATTGCCCAACATCAAGATTGCGCAAGTTGTTCTTTCTTATTGTCACTTGGAGGATACCGTTCGAAAAAAGTCTTGCGTTGTGCATCGAATCAATCAGAGCTTGCTGGAACCTTTATCAGTCGCAAGCCTACAAGACCACTTGGCAACCTTGCTGTGCTGCAGGAACTGTTTTCTCTTGATTCTTCGGTTTATCACGTGGACGATTCACCGGAGGTTCTCGGGGAGATTGACCAGTTCATCAAGGCACATCCGCAGTGTGCGTGGAAAGTGGTTGGCATTTCGGTTCCTGGCAAAAGGACTGCTTCGGGGGTGTCGTACTACAGAAACGTAGCAGAGGCACTCTCAGCAATCCTTGCAGACTTCTGATCGTAATATAGCACAGTTGGCAAGCCTTGGAAACTTTTGCATTCTTTGGTCAGTCCTTGGAACGAATAACAAATAAAATATCATCACGGTTTCCTCAGCTAGCCTTGTATCATTTGATTCCTCCTCCGTGTAGAGTCGAGTCAAAAAGACCTGTGCGCTGAATCCGGGATTGGTTGTTTGCACTTCTGCAGCTCCAGTTCCCAAAAGATCCAATATCCATTGTTGCATCAGTTGCAGCTTTAGAACAGTGTTTGAGTGTTAGGAACCCATCCGCTAGTGGTTGAAGGGCATTTTGCTCGTGCGTGCCAACATTCAGACATGCCAACTATTCAAGAAATCATGGAAAGTCAGTCATCAGACAATCCATCGTCGTTGCAAATATCATCGACAACATCGCCTGAGACAGGTTTGGGTGGTATCGGTAGAGCACTTCATGTGAAGAAGACTGGTAGTCATAGTATTATAAGTAGTCGATCCTCCGGTTCATCAACACCTGTTCATACCCCACAGCATGTAAGAAAGAATACCAAGAAGATTAAAGATGGACCATCATCATCTCGAAGTTCTAGTGTGCATACTGCGCCACCTAGGATGCCATCGCAAGGGTCACATCGGGGGTTGGGTGCAATCGTGCCAATGGGTTCAGAAATCACCACCGCACAAAGTTCTGTTGCTGAGCCACGTGTTGATGAGAACATGTCAGGTGAGCAGGGTGTTTATATTCAGAACACTCAGCAAAACCTTTATGATCAAAGATCTCTTCATGTTCAAGTTGGTGTGGACCCAATGCAAATGATTCAGCATGTCCAATCGGTCGAGTCCCATGCACAGTCAGTCGTCCAGGAAGCTGTAGCACATGTACATGAGACTCAAAGAAGGGTTGAGAATGTGGTTCATGAAACTCATGCTCATGCGCAAAGGGTTGTAAGTGAAGCCCAAAGGGAATCCACTTCAGTGGTACTTCAGGCCCAATCGCATGTTGCTGCTGTGGAGGGTAGGGCGAATGAGATTATCCAAGAATTGAATTCAAGGCACCATTCAGAGCTTACTAGGGCCCAAGATGTTGCAAATCAAGTGCAATATCAAGCTCAAGCTTGTCAACAAGAATCGGATGCTAAGATTCAGAACTTAATGGCTGTTGTGGAATCCCAAAATCAGGCCTTGGAAATCCAAAGGGTTCAAAATGCGGAGTTGTCTGCACGCCTTGCAGCTCTCCAAGATGAAGTGGTCATGTTAAGAAATTCATCAATTCCAGCTACTCCTGCACAAGATAGAAATGGCGCGGTGAACCAAGAGGAATTGAGAGTAGTCATTGATTCACTTCGTAGGGAGATTAGGCAAAGCCAAAATCCCAGCATGCCCATCCAATTGCCTGTACCACAGAGGATGTCCATAGCCACACCGCCTTATGACACTATGTCGGCATGTGCAGGGTATCCACAGCCATTCCCTGGTCAGTGTGGTCCATCAAAGGGTCATCGGTCAGGGCCAAGTTCGACTGTCACTCCACCGCCCATCCCGCCACCAGGACATAGTCCGTCAGGTTCGAGCTCATCAGAGGAGGGTCATCGACCAGGGGGGTTTTCGGGTGGTTCACCAAATTATCCGGGCGGAAGTAGCAATGGGGTAGTCCACATTCGTATCATCCAAGTTTGCATAGCATTGGGGTTGGGTCGGCATCGTTGTCATCCGAGGAGTGTGTGTATCGCTATAAAGCATTGCAGTCCGTAAAGATTGAATCATTGCCCCAAAATGCTGCAGCCTTTCGTGGATGGAAAAATGGACTTGTTACCAAACTATGTAGCATTGATCTCACTGGAAGGGATATCATATTGGAATGGATCTTGGAAGCCCTTGATCCGAACTCAGACTTGAATAATAGTCAGTGTATGTTCCTTCCCAGACTCGATGCATACTTGGCAGCAGTTCTCACCGAACCAAAACACTTGAGAGGGGACTTAGGAGTACAGTTCCAATCTTATGTGGAGAAGTGCCAGCAAAACCGGGTTTCCCCAAAAGGTCGGTTCATGCTACAGCTCATAGCCCGTCGGTTTCAATTGGACTTGAATAGGGGTGCCAATTTGACCCAACAGTCTCTCCTAGAGTTGACTCTTGATTCATATACGGCTGAAGCCCTTGCAAAGTTCATCGAGAGGATTGAACTTGTTTTGAACTCTATCCCAACGAGCCATCAGCCCAGTGAAATGACAAAGTTCACATGGTTATTCAGCAGACTCAAACATTGCCGTACCATGCAAAGGTTCATCGATCGCATCAAAGATGCACGTGACGGATCTCATGTCAGGACTTGGGATTGGTTGTATGGTAAACTCAAAACGGTTGTGATTGAGCTCAGGGAGGATGCTAATGAAGAATCAGTTCGTCGTGCATTGAGCCCCGATAAGCCTAAGCCTAAAGCCAAAGGTGATGGTAAGGGTAAAGCTGTTCCAGCTACGGGTGAACCTAGTGCCGATGATCAAAAGACACAAAGTGCCATGCCTAATCCTGCAGCCAAGTCCAAGGCAAAGCCGAAGACTGGTAGCCCAAAGGGTGGTGGGAAAGGTAAGGAAGGAGGTTCTCAGGATCAGACAAAGGCTGGTCCGAACCCAAAGGGCAAAGCTCCTGCCGGAAATCCAAGTGCGAAGGCGAAGCCAAAGGCTGAGTCGGGCAAGCCCACGGTCAAGTGTTTGTTTTACCCGAATTGCAATCGAGGTAGCAGCTGTCCGTTTTTGCATGAAGGAGCATCAAAGGCAAAGGCGGAGTCAAAGGCTTCGCCAGCCGCCAGCAAAGGCCCCTGCCAAGGCTGCCGTGGCCACGCTGCTTGCAAGCAGTATTCGAGGAGCCGAGGCATCGAGAACCAACATGTCGGTTATGGGCAAAGCCTTTCAGACGTTCATGTATCCTTTCAAAGCATTCTTTGCATCCATCGCTGCACTGTCGTCTGTTGTGAACACATCAAACACGGTTGGTTGTCTGCACTCCTTTGCAGCTCCAACTGTTGTCCGCACTGGTGAACAGGCTTGTGTTGCCACATCGTCTCATTCCGGTTCATATGATGTTGAGTGGATTTGTGACTCAGGTGCCTCGAGATCACTTGCATCCATTCAATCTCTAGTCAATCAAGGAATCCCAGAAAACTTGATTTATAGTAGCCTTTCATCGGTGTCGACTATCAAGTTTGAGACAGGCAATGGAGTGACAAATAGTACAGAGTGTTTTAATTTCCATGGTAGCAAATTCTGTGCATACGAGCATAGGATCTTGGAGAGCTGTCCCATAGCTAGAAGCTTAGGTGAAATCGTGTCCAGTGGTCGCCCGTTTGTCTGGTTGCCAGGTGAGTTGCCGTACTTTGCAGAAAGTGGTAATGATCTTCAAGTTAAATGCAGGGGTAGAAAACTCATTGCTGACCGCATTGAAGAAAATGTCCCTGTGTTTAAGGAGAGCATTCAAATCTTGGAGGAAGGTTCCAAAGCTATCCCATCCTTTGTACTCCCTGCGCCACATGCCCTTGCAGCAGGAGAACATGAGGTCGCTGTTCCAAGCGATGCTGATTCAGAGGATGTTGATGAGGAGCCCTTGGATAGGATGCAGAGGTTAATCAGGGATGCCCAGTCACTCGAACACCTCATTTGCCATTTTCCAAAGAATCCAGCATGCCCGATTTGCAATCGAAGTAGAATGTATAGAAAGAAAGTTCGAAGGCTTAGGTCTGATCCACTCCGTGACAGAGGAGGGTTGGAGCCAGTCACGCAGTTTGGTGAACGTATTTCCATAGATTTCATCATTGTTCAAAAGCTTGCCTCTGACAAGAGAAACACTGTGCAGGTAATTCGAGATGAGTTTAGTGGTTGGATTCGTGCATTCCCCATTTCTAAGCGTGATGCATCCACGGTTGTCAAGAACTTGTTGAGTTTCTTAGGACCTTCATACAATCAGCCGTGCATAATGATAAAATCAGACCAGGCAACAGAAACTCGCCTTGCAGCACAGCAGCTTGGTTTTGTTTTTGAAGGAACTTTGGAAAATCGCCATCCCCACAATAGTGTTTTGGAAAGAGACATACGGACTTTGGAGGAGATCACGCGTGCCTGTCACTTGCAAGCTGGTTTTGACACAATTGTTGGGTTGTGGCCTCACTCAGTAATGTTTGCAGCGACTATTTTCAATGCGAAGCATAAACTTGCTGATCGTGAGGAAACCCGACATAAACTAGCTGTAGGTGCTGAGTTCGAAGGTCGCCTTTTGTTGTTGGGCCAATTGGTTCACTATAGGGTAGACCCCCTTCAAAGGGAAAAGTTCGAAGCATCCACCAAACCTGGGTTGTTTGTTGGTTGGCGGTATGGTGATGGACCGAAAAGCCACTTGGGTGTGTATCTTGTGTTGGATTATGCCAAGGTCAAAGGTAGAGAGCCAGGTTTCACGAACAGCATCGCTGTTCCAGCAGAGGAGTTGTATGTGGAAGAAGGGCCAGCGAAGCTGCCCATCAAGCATGCAGCAGATCAAGCCCTGGCAACCTTTGGTGAAGTGAAACTCGATGAGATTTTACCCCTTGACATCCCCTTCTCAAGCATCACACTTGATAGTAAAACCAAAAGAAATGAGTATATAACCTTAGACAGGATTATCAAATACGGGCCAACTGTTGGGTGTAGGGCATGTGCATTTAGTTCAGAATACAGTGTACATACTCCAGCTTGTCGTGCACGTTTCAATGCGCTTGTCAGAGCCGATCGCGTTGCCACAGGTACCAAGACTCCAGGCACTCCATCAGCGGTTCCACGGACACCAGCCGTTGAACCAGTAGTTGAGCCTGTTGTCGAACACCCAGTTGATCCAGAAATCGAACCAGAAAGTTTTGTTGAGGCAGCAGCAGATGACCTTCCTTTCAGTGCGGGGATCCCGCCAGGATCTTCAGAAGCAGCCATGGTTGGGAAAGTAGCATTTGTCCTCGATGATACATTTTTGGACATGAATAGATCAAGAAACATGATTAGAAGAACTTCATCGTTGAGTGGCCGTGGTGTTTTGTATGAATATGCTTGTAGTGACTCTTCCATCATCGGAGAGAAGTCAGCAGACATCGGCGTTCGTTGCACTCGTCTTAGCAGGGAGGTGTTGGATCTCACCAATGCGGACCATGTTGCACAGGCCATCATGCAGTTAGAAAGCACGCCAGGTGCAGATGTGTGGATTTCCATTACATGCACGCACCATTCACCGATTCAAAGACTCAATGAATCTCAACATGGACAGAAGTTCTCAAAGAAGTTGAAACAGCGTCAAAAGGAGACCAGACGCATGTTGGGTTATGCCATTCAATTTGCAGAAGCATGCCTCAACAATCATGGTAGGGTGGCTTTCGAGCAACCTCAGGAATCAGGCATTTGGGAATTGCCTGAATGGCTGGAATTCGAAAGGCGTCATGGTTTGAAAAGAGCCTATTGTGAGGGTTGTGCATTTGGCCTGAAAGGATAAGAGGGTAAACTTCTTCGCAAGCCTTGGTGCATCAGCACCAACGACATGCGCTTGATCCAATTTGTGAACCAACATCGATGCGATGGTACTCATGAACATGGTGAGTCAATGGGCGGTAACGCTAGTCACACGGCTTACTACACCCCAGCAATTTGCTGATATGGTCATGGAGGCATGGTATCCACAAAATTGGTACAAACAGGTTCCTTCATTGGCAGGTGTAACCAAATCCCTTACTAAGAAAGAATGGGCCAATGATCCCAAAGCCTTAGAGGCATTAAAACAAGAAGCTGTGGGGTTAAGATCTAATCTTACCTGGGATGATGACACAGTAGCTCCCCTTTACCAAATCCGAAATTGGGCGCGTTCAGCTGGTGCACACATCAAGGTGGCCGAACTGCTCACTTTGGTGGGCATCAAGCACCACGAGCTGGAGCCTTCTCAGTGGAAATGGAAAGGTCGCATTGTGTACAGAGGCGATCAGGTGAGGGATCAAGATAACAACCTGCTATTATTTGATCAAACGGCAACAACGCCGACATCATTGATAGCATTAAATGCAGCTATTTGGTATGCTTGTAGGAAGGGCCATGCAGCATCATGTTCAGATGCTATACAGGCATTCCTGCAGTCGGAACTTGATGACAGCGACCTGACATATGTCATCATTCCTGTCGAGTTATGGCTCGATGAATGGCACACCAGATTCGATCCAGGAACTAGGTTGGCAGTGCGTCTGAAGAAATCTCTCTACGGCCATCCAAAGGCGGGCCGCTGGTGGCAAGATCATTTAGACCGTCGACTTAGAGCTCTTGGAGCAGAAGAAATGCCCATGTACCCATCAAATTACCTAATACCATGGAAAATTGGTAATCAAACGGTAACCTTACTTCTCAATGTTTACGTAGATGATCTTACTTTATTTGGTGATCAAAGATGTCATTCAGACTTCTGGAATAAGCTGCGTGAATCAGTAAAGCTAGAGCCTGAGCAGTACATCCTTGGCCGGGAAGGTACACTCATTCTTGGTCGAAAACACTACATCAAGGTTGAAAATGATCACACCAAATGTGAACTTGACAGGAGGTCTTACGCAGAAAGTATTGTCGACACCTATTGTGAAATAACTGGGTTTGATAAGAAGCGTTTTCGAAACGTTCCCACTCCACACATCCCAGAAAGTTCTATCACAGAAGAAGATTTAACACAATCTGGTGAACTCGGCACGGATGCGTCTCGCATCCTGATGCGTCTGTTGTGGTTATCAAGGCTGACTAGGCCCGACTTGTCATTCATTGTGACAAGGTTAGCCAGCAGGGTCACGTCTTGGACAAAGTTCGAAGATCGTCAATTACATCGCTGTGTGTCGTATCTCAATTCATCCACGGAAGTGGTCTTGACCGGCTCGGTATCTCACAAAGGAGATGTTCGGCTCGATGTCTACACCGATGCAGACTTCGCCGGCTGTGTCCACAGTGTCAAGAGCACGTCTGGATTGTGGGTTGAGGTAACAGGCGATGGCCATTCGTTTCCATTATTTTGGCAAAGTAAGAAGCAGTCAAGTGTGGCGCGCTCAACTACGGAGTCGGAATTAATTGCGATGGCCAATGGACTGTTTGGGGAAGTCTATAACTTGCAAGCCTTTTTACAGGCACTTCTTGGAACAGTGGTCAACATTCAGTTTTATCAAGATAACAGCGCAGTACTGCAAGTGCTAAAGGCTGGGTACTCGGCACGACTACGCCACACCGGTAGGGTGCACAAAGTGAACGTGGCATCGGTGTCCGAAGCGTTGGAGGATGAAACTATATCCGCAGATCACTGTACGACCTTGGAGCAAAAGGCAAATGGCTTCACCAAGATCATTCCACCGATTGAATGGACAATGACTCTGCAACAGCTTAGCCTGAATTACAAATCATAGCTTTTTAGCTCGAAATAGGAATTATACAGAAGACCATGACTTTCCTGGATCGCCAAGTCTCGAGGGGGGAGTTGAAGAATCACACACAATGTGATCCCCTTTGTCATGTATAGATACTCCACTTGGTTGATCGGTTGTCATGTGTCATTCCTACATTCTCATTTTGGTATATTCCGACTTTTGGCTCAAGTACTGCTAAGACAGTGCGCGTTTTCATTGTTGCTGTGATTGGAGCTGTGTCATAGTAACAACAATTTATAATATTTATAATATATATATAATATAATATGATATATATATAATATAATATAATATATATATATAATATTATCCATCACCCTAAATCATGTGAAATGATCAAATAAGTCGACTGGGTGGCTTGATGTGCACAACATGATCCCAACGTTTAACTCATATCCAGGTGGCTGTGTTCGCTCTGTGTCACGTAGTTTCGACGGATCGTTGTTAGGCGACATCTTTCAGCAGCGAATGCATACTGAGCAGGTGCCTCGAGTAGACGCATCATGCATCATGTTATAATGCACGGTGAAAGAGAGCAGATCTTTCGAAACTTAAGTGGTTCCAGAGTAATTACCGAGAAATGTTTTGAAGAAAGCAAAGAAATAAGATCATTCATTTAGATTCATTTAGCAGGTTTTTGCGATTTTCACATTCTCTTGAACCACACGTTTGAATTTGTTCTCTGTCAAGAACAGCTTAAAGCTCTAACACCTTTCCCAATCAATTCTTAAGAAGTATTGTTTAAGCATCATTACCTCTTCTGAGTTCGCGAAGGAGTGGAGTTTGCTGCCAGACTGTGCAGTAGAGACCTTAACAGCAAGGTTGAGCGGCTCAACAGAAGATTCTCAAGTGGCAATGGCCATGAGTTTGGTCACATGTTGCATGGAACTTTGATGAACTTTGAGGTAGTCTCCTGCGCTTATCCAGCCTATGTGACCAACGGGATTCTGGCCGTGGACCCAGAAAAGTTCTCGTGTCAGGATCAAATTGATCAGATGCCGTTGAGTTGCTAGCTGTTGGCCATGTGGTAGCAGCTAAGGGCTATCCCGGGTTTCCAGCCGCCCTTGGCAAAGTGTCATCTCTCTCCAAGTCCAGGCGATTGGGCGCAGATTCAGTCCATGCTACCATGGAATTTTTAGGAAAAATATACCAAAATATAGGGAACAGAACCATTTTATCTGATATTTTCCGTGCAAACCACGAGATATGGGTCAAACTATGTCAAAATCATCCGCCCAATTTAACAGGGATTGTTCATACTGAAAAGATAACCAGTTTCGTGGTGCCCCCTTCCCTTGACCCAAAGTCATTTTCACGCAACCCGTGGAGGCGACTTCTGATGGAATTGCAGGCAGGTTTCTGAGCGATGAGCAGACTGGTTGCAGATGGTACCACGAGATAGCACTTCACTTAGACATGTTTAGAGAACTTTGGAATCCCAGGACCTATTGATTTCGTTTGCTCTATGTGCACTTTGTGCACTTTACACTTCAAAGAGACCCTCTCAGCTTCTATTTTGGAACATGTTTTGGGAAAAAAGAAAAAACCAAACAGGATTTCCATCCAAGACTAATAGTGACTAACAAGTTGTGTTGCCCAGAGATGCATAGATAAGCTGTCTAGTACCACTGGCGAATCGCTTGAAATGGGTCTCCAGTTCAACCAGCGACGCAGACGCACTTGCGGCTATCCTCAACGGTAAGTGGCCAGGCAAGACTGCGATGTTTGAAGAAATTGTCGTGAAGGGTGTGGGGTATCTTTGATTGTGGATGGCTTTGGGCATCAGATTGCTGGTTTTGCAGCCCGCTTGATAGAGTCCTTGAATTGCTGAGAAGTCAATCTTCAGGAGTGCAGTTGTCTCTCTCCCAATCTGAACAGGAAGTGATGACGTCTTCCTATGCTGATCTGTTGTACAGGTGCCAGCTCCGTGCCGAACTTGACTCTGAATCAATCCTAAGAGCTGATTTCCTTTCATGGCTAGATTATACAAACATCCACATGCCTTTCTCAACTAGATATGTAGATTGCAGATGATTACAGAAGTATCCACATGTATAACTCATGAACATGCAGGATCATGCAGGAACTGGATTGGTGGGGTACTCCCAGCAAGGCGGCTTGTAGAACCACTGAAGCAGAACAACGTGAAGGAGGTGGTCTTGCACTCAGACCAATGTCATGAGGCCCCCATTGGGCATGGGGGTCAAAACTTCACAAACTCCTTCCTGGATTTTAGATTTTGAATAATCACTATATATTATATAATAGTGGCAACTCATCCTTAGTTGATGTTACAGGTAAAAAACAATGATGACAATTGATGGAACAGTTCATGATAGTGATAATTATCTTACTATCCAATTGCAATACTCAGGATAGCAATAATCATTAAGTCTATATCCATGGGATTTTCCATTATGGCCACCAGGTTGGATTGCTTGATGCCTATGGACTTCGGCGAGAGCATTTGCTGGAGCACTTCTGGCTTGGTGAAGATGGCCGCTTTACGACTGGCATGGCGCTAGTCGAGAGATGTCAAAGATACGTTTGAATCATGCGGGTAAAACAATGCCATAAACCAGCCATTTGGGAATGATTTATACCACCTAATACCACCTATAAGAATGGTGATTTGGGGGACGGTTTATACATTAGTGTGTATATGGCACATGATGTTATGATATATTGTATACATGGCAAAGATGTTCCCTTTTTGACGGGATTGACTGGTGATGGGTCAAGTTAGTTAGTGGAGTGCCAAGATTGGGTGATTGAACGACAATAATCATAGCAGGGCACAGGAATAGATAAATCGATGTGTATTTCAGCCAAAGATCATCAAAGACCGGATGGTTCACTCAAAACAAGAATTGGAATATACAAATATATATATATTAACAATATATACATACACGTGTTAATAGATACATTCATTGGATTGGTTTAAGGGAAAATCTACAGGAAACCATTGTTTTTACTATGAAATATGGGAAAAAATGGAAAAATGGGGGTTTCAGGGCGTATATGTTTGTATGTTGCTTGTTATGATTTTGTGTTGGGGTTCAATGTTTCATCTTCGCCTTTGATGTTTTTTCAGGTGGGGTTTTGGGGGTAATTTTGTTGCTAAAGTGATGTGTCAATGTTTGGTTCAGATGAGGGTAGGATTTGTTTAGGCTGTTGGGGTTTGTGTTTTGGTTCAGATGAGGGAGATACTGTGGATAGTGTACTTGTGGTTTTCGTTTTTTATTGTCAAGGTATGTCTTGTCTTTTTTTGGGTATGATTTTATTGTGTTTCCTTATCATCAGTTTCAAGACAGAACATTCAACTTGATATCTTTCAAAAGGTTCCATGTCTTTCAACATCTTTCATTTTTTATTCTCTCATTCTCGTCTTTTTGGTGGCGTTTTTTTCTTGGTTGTGTTTTGATTTGAACGTCTTTCGCTTCGCCTCATTTTTTGCGGACTTCTTCATGGACTTTCTGGATTTCGTCGGGGGCGCCCAGATGAGATGTGCGCGCTGTTTCGTTTGCATGGAAGCATCACTTTTGAGGACATATTGCGTTTCTTGAGGCACTATGTACACTCTATGTACACATTGTGGCATTACACTACACCCAGAGATGTTGATTGCTTTCTCCCGCAGCAGACAGGCTCACAAATGCTCACAAGATAAGATGAGTTCTACTTGCGGCATGTGTTGCACTATGAACAAGTCAACGCATCAAGAAATCGTAAAGTGCTTGAGCTCCAGCACAGTCCCAGTTCTGGAGATTTCCGCCATGGGATGTCGCGTTGCCTCATTGCCCGATGTTGTGGTTTTCGGCTTCTCATGTCAGGCCGACGAAACCACCGTTGCTTCTCAAACAACGCTCCAGAGAAGGAGCCGACCACGAAACAGCAGATTGGAAAGTGGTTGGTTGGTGGTGGTGGCTCGTTGGCCATCGTGACCTTTGGATGGGATATGTGGCGGCATCGTCAAGAACAAGAACGGCATCGTCAAGAACAAGAACGGCATCGTCAAGAACAAGAACGGCATCGTCAAGAACAAGAGCGAGTGAAGAATATCATTGTGAATGCCTCTTTCAAAGCACGCGAGCCACGTGTCAAGATTGAACGGAAGATAATCAAGGCGTCCAAGCACCACCTTTTTTTTTTGTGTTTGTCCCTGCGTTTCTTGACAGAAGGGATTTGTTCTTGAGATAGGTGTTATTTCATGTCATACTGACATTTTGAATTTGATGCACTATGCTCACTATGCACTGTGGCAGGACGAAATGCACCAGTTGTTGGACTTGGACGACCCCCGCCCAATCCTCATCTGGGGGAACCATGAAGTTGGCAAGAGCACCATCCTTTGGGAAGTGTTGCAGGAGAAACAGTGGAACAATGGAGTGCTCCACATCAAGCTCATGCAGAACAACGACTTGGCCAAGGACGCATTGAGGAGCAGGTTGGCAGTGCTCCATGAAGAGGAGGTGGTGCGTGGTTTGAGAGGTGCCAAGACAAGAATGGGACGGCAACCCATCATCATCCTTGAAGTTCCTCGTGGTGTCTTTAATCCAGATGTGATGAGCAGCGTCTCCGCCTTTGCGAAGTCATGGGGCTTTGATGACGAGGTTGCCAAAGTGCTGGTGATGGTCAGTTCTGCAGTGTCAGCCATGGCTTTTGACGCAGACGGTCGTGAGCGCCGATTCTTTGTTCCACCACTGACGAGTGAAGAACTCTCGCAGAAGGAGGCCATAATGAAGAGCTTCAGTTCATGTGGTAATTGTTCAGTCACCTTCAATCACTTTAGTGCTTTTTGTTGGTGCTACTTCTGGCATGGGTTGGGATGTTTGCAGATGGACGTCTCCTTGTCAGGTTGAGGAATTCCTACGTCATCATGGCGGTGAAGAGGCCTCCACGCACAAGAGCGACATGATTCAACTCACAGGTGGCAACATCGGTGTAATGGAGGACAAGGGTCATGAAACCATGGGACAACAACCCGAAACATCAACGAACCGTGAAACCTTGAAACTTGCCCACATCTCCTGCAGGACGTGGCGGAAAAGGCCAAAGAGACACCATGGGAAGAAGCAAAGTCCAAACGGCTTGCGGTGCAAAGAAGTCAGGTCCAGAACTTCTTGGGCATTGACAAACAAGGTGGCTTTGGCCCAGAAAAGGTGAGGATGGCACGCACCTTGGCCAAGGCCGTGGCGCATAGCTCCTTCGAGCAGTGTGTTGATGCTGAGAGGTTCAGGGAGCACTTCACGCCTGCGGACGTGGCGAGAGCGGTGCGGAGCCGAAGCGCTCATTGCATCTATGTGGATGCGCGGGCAGAGGAGCGACGCTACTGCGCAGTTTCTCGCACAGTGCATGACCTTTTGAAGAAGGTCTGAAGGCGGAAGTGGCAGTGGCGTGTGAATGAGAGTGCTTGGTTCCTTGTAGGACTTTTGGATTGCATGGATGGTGCAATCCGCATTGTGTCCAACCAGACTGGCAAAACACAGAAAGGTGATGATTTTTATTGGGGTTGCACCTACCCTTCAATCCGGGATGCACTCTATCTGCACTGCACAATTGACCGGTGGGACAGACCGCACAGTGTTCCAAGACTGGATGAGCAAAAGTGAAATGAAATGGCAGAGATTGAAGGTTGGTTTGTTTCGCAGTTGTTGGATTGGCACTCAAATGTAGCATTCTTCAGGCCCAGAAGTTTGGTGATGATATCAACCACTTTTCACTGCTTTACAGCATCCAATTGCATCCAATTGCCCTTTTCCACTTGCCGAATGCGTCCCACGCCAAGGTTGTGAAGACATCAGGGACACCATCTATTAGCAGGTCAATCCCAGCATTTGTCATAATGCAAGATTTTGGAAACGGGTTCTATCAAAGCCTTGAAGCAATGAACTATTGAAACAGCCTTCAAAACCTGATTGTTTCGAGGAAAATCCAACCAAATATTTGCTGGCATGACATTTCCAAGCAGTCTCCAGCACTTGACGTTGGGAGCATCCATCGGGTTGGCCTCATTTGCGAACACAGAACACCCCAAAGATACTTAAAGACAAGTCGCCTTATGTAATTAAGATTTGATATGCCCTGCTATTTAGTAGTTGACGGAAAGAAGCAAGAAATGGATGAGGACATCTTTGACCAAATGGTTGAAGCACTCAATCCAGAAACAGTCCAAGAACCCCCAATCCAAGCATCCACCAGATGGAAACCCGATGGAACTTATGACAGAAAACCATTAGACCCCGAATACTTTTCCAAATACTACCAAAAGAAATTATCAACACCCTTCAAGTGTGCCGACTGCGGACGCACCATTTCGTCCAAATCCAATGTATCAAAACATCGTCAAACCAACATTTGTATTAACAGCAGATGTCATTGATGAACTGTTGAACTCAAACCTTCTCAATAACAAATGATGTTGTTGAGAACGTTTTATTCGCTACTTATTCCTGTTTGTTTGACACAATTTTTCGACCCTTGATGTATCGGAACATAATATTGAGACATTACACGCTTACAAAAAGGACACTCAATCTTTTCAAGGTGTTTCGCTAATATTTTGTCTCTATGTTTGTAGTAGTATTCCCGCAACGCCTCTTTTCTCTCTTCTTCCGTCCTATGCGGAACGACCTTATTGACACAATCAGTGTTTTTGATGTAGTGTCCTTCTCGTCTCAATAGTTCTTCCTTACAATT